TACAAAAGTGTATGACATGCTCTGGAATTGAAAAGTGAGCAATTAACCTGGGTGGTAGATTCAAGGAAGAATCTGAAGGCAGAGTGTGATTTTGAAAAGAGGACAAGGTAAAGGAGGTAGGAGGAGGCAATGTGTAAAGCAGGAAGCATATTCTAGACACAGCAATAGCATAAGCAAAAAATCACCAAAGCATGGAAGCGCATGCTATCTGCCAGTGAGTGAGCAAGTAGGGACAAAGCATGGGGGGGTGGTGGTGAATGGGAGAGGGGCTAATGTCCTCCCTTTTCCTATTTTTGGGGAATCTCCCACTGTGTGAGTTTGGGTTGATCAAGCTCCCATTGTGAGCTTGATCTCCTACTGTGAAATCCGAAGGGAGGCAAACACTCCTCTCTGTCTCCCTGCTAGGGCATGACTGGGCTCAGCCACTCTGGTGCTTCTACCGACGACCTTGAGTAGGGAGAGGCAAGGTTAAAATGAAAAAGCTCGGGATTAGTCGGTGGTGCCATCAGTGGCACACTGTGCGTGCCTCATCTGTGTTACCTGCTGCCAGTCTTCCATGGATCCTGATCCTTTTCTGTATCTGTCTCCATCTCTGGGTCAATGCAGAGAGCTACCTGATAATCCTCTCTTACTTTACTTTCCTTTGAAAAAATTAATGAGAATGAGTTTCTTTTCCTTATAACCAAGAGGTGTCTCAAAAAATAGATAAATTAGTCTTTTGGGTTTATTATCTGTATTTCCTAAATTTTGTTTAATGAATATGACATAGGTCTGTAATAAAATACTTTATATTTAATGTAAAATTGAATGCAAATGTGAAATAGAAAAAAATTTAAATAAAAATTTATTTAAAATGCTAAAAAAGATCCCAAGGACAAAAGGATAAGATGCGCAATTAGTCACATAGTATAATTCTATGAGCTAGGCAGATTGTTATGACCTTTATGAGCATTACTACACATACTTTGGTAACAAACACTAAGATGTACATACTTTGATTATCCATGTTTTCAGATGAAGAAAACTGAGGTCCTTGAGGGCCAGAGCAGCATTGTCTAACACAATTTTCTGCAATACTAGGAATACTTTATATTTGTTTTGTCCAATACAGTAGTCAATAGCCTGTGGGACTATTGAGCACATGAAATGTGGTTAGCATGATTGAGGAACTGAAGTGTTATTTGATTGATTTTAATTAATTTCAAATTAAATATGTGTACGTGATGAGTGACTACTACATCAGACAATTTGGGACTAGAAGAGCCAGCCAGTCACAGAAGTCATTGACAAAAGGGTCTGGTTGGCACCCTGAAAAATCACTAGCTATTTGATCATCTGCCTCCTATCTGTGGGCAAGATTGGTTCTAAGACTGCAGACCATAATTTGTTAGCAGGAATCTTTCATAGTGTGGACCACTGACTTATTTTGCCAGATTTTATCCTTGGAGGTAAAAGCAGTACTCCATTTTCTTATATGAAACAAAAAATCATAATCATTTTCTCTATAGAATGTTATTGAAGAGCACAAGCTCCAGGAAACCTGCTTGGGTTCAAATCTTACATCTGCCACCAAACTCAGTCTTCTTTCAGACTTCACATTCTCAAACCCCACTTTCCCCATGGGTAAAACAGGAATTAAACAGTAAAATAGTTGTGAGGATTAAAAGTAAAATACTTAGCCAGTCTCTGGCACATGTTAAACAGTAGTTAGCTATTCTATAACCAGCACCTTGTGATGAGTTTGTACTTTGCACCTGTTTTGACATTTACTCTACTCTATATTTGCTGAAGTAGAAGATATCCTCCTAGATCTCTAAATGTCAGAACATCCCTAAAAAGAAGTACGCATTCATCAGGATAAAAAGGTAAAGTACTAACGTTATTTTTAAGCTATTATCCTATTGTAAGAGTGAGTTTTGCAGCTATTTTTAAATTTCCTTTTGATTTCTATATTGTTAAAACATTTTAAAACATGACCAAAGCAAATAATGACCTCACTATTTTGTTGTGATCATTAAAGTCTCTTGGTTAAACCACAAACAGTTCATATACCGTGCGATCAAATAAAAACACGAGAGGCTTTAAGCGCTGGCCCAAAAGATTTCCTGATGTCTTATAGTTTTGCAGAACTTCCTATCACTTTGATTGGTATCTTAGGAGCGGTCTGATAGGTTGATCAAGGACTATTTAAAGACTAGAGACTTCACAAATAGGAACAAGTAATAGGATCCCCTTTGGTGCCACCAATTTGGTACTTGGTAACCTTCAGATTAAAGGACAGCGTTTTTAATATAGTTGTGCATTGTTGTCTCCATTAGTTTCGAAAAATCCAGATTCTAGTGCCAGTCCTGTCCCTGATTTGTCTAAGTTATGTATGTCTGCGCCAGAGAGGTGAATGTCCTCTGTAAAAATCTAAGAACTGATCTAGACTTGATTTTGTAATGGTCACTCAAGTGTTCTTTCCACTAAAGTCCTTGAGACTGCCCCCTCCCCCCATCCCCCTAGGGATTTAGGAAGAGTTTAGGCCTCAAGACTCAAGTAATTTTTATATGCTGTTCACAGCGTTTACTTCCATGCTTTATAAAACACGCTCTTAGACTAGTCTTGGAATTTTAATTTCCTTAGAAAACAATTCATGGGTGAGTCAGCATTAAGGGAAAAACAACGTATCAAAATTGCATGAAGTGGTAAAATGAGAAACGATTTTATAGAGGAACCAATTACCTATTTATAAAATGCCTGCGCTGTGCAAGGTTTTACGCAGCAGAGCTAGCGTGCGGTTCCATATTCAGCAAAGAGGGTCTCAGGGAGCCCTCTCCACACTGCCTCAAAACTGCGATTGCCAGAAACGTCTTTTCCAAGGAGAGGGAAAGAAAATGTGCATCGGCGGAGGACGAAGGAAGGGAGGAAGTGAAGGAGGGTGAAAGCCTGCCCCGAGCCCCCGCCCATCCTCTCTGGACTCATTAAGGGAGTTTCCTCCAGCTGCAGCAGAACGCTCGGGGGCGTTTCCGCGTCGAACCCGGGGCGCCCAGGGACTTTGCTAGTCCAGAAGGTGACGTCCCGATCCCCTGGGAACACAGCGCGTCGCCCGCGCCAGGGACCTAGGGGGCGGTGCGCGGCCAGAGCGGGGTCGCGCGGCGGCCGGACGCGTTTCCGGAAGGCTGATTGCATCAGGTGTGGAGCCCGGCGCAGCCTCGGCCCAACCTGGCGCCCAGTGCGCCTGCGCGCCCCGCCCCGCCCCGCCCCGCCCCGCCGCCGACTCCACAGCGGCTTTTTCTTCGGGTCGCGGGCTCCACGCCCTCCCTGGAACCCCGAGAAAAGGGGGTGACAGGGTGGGGCTCCGGGGATCCGCGGGGGTCGGTGGAGTCCGAGGGAATAGAGTGCGCTGGAAGAGGACTCGCACGAAAGCCAGCGGGTCTCTAATGACGGGCGGGGTGGTTTTGGGCAAATTTCCTCTTCTCTCTGCGTCTCAAGGACGCAGCACAGACCCATACGGCTTTCTGAGCAGAGTCCGTGTTTTTCCCAAGTGACTTGACTAAATTGTGGCCATCCGCTATGCTGCTCCACAGGCTCATTAGGCCGGTCCTCCGGTGCTGGGACTCGGTTCCAAGACAGCGCTTTCATAGATTCACAGATTTTTCTGGGCAGTGCTGTTTCTCTCATAGAAGGCCTTGAGCTGAGTCTGAGGGAAATGCTGGTTCATAAAATAAGTTATAGGGTGCGAAAGCCGGAAACCCTTTTTCCGTAAAGAAGCCCCCCCCCAACGTGGCTAGCATCCCCTCTCCGAACCTGCATCGGGGTCCCCTTTTGCACCATCAGCACCTGCACGTCTCCCTCCTCGCGCGTTCCACGTTGGAAATAACTAGATGGATGTCTGTCGCCGTGCTGGACTAGGAACGGGAACGCCAGGAAGGCAGAGGCTGGGCTCCTTAATCCACTTCTATCCCAAGGCCTGGTACAAGACCTTGTGGACCCTTAATAAATTCATGGCATACGAAGAAATCAAATAATGCCCACTTCCACTACATTGATTTCGCACATGAATAAGGAAGGATGGAGAATCAGCTTATTGGAGGAAAGTGCATTTTGGAGATGTGAGTAAGAGGATAAAAAGGAGCCGTTACTTTGTTGTTACAATTCATTTACTTTCAGGATTATCTTTCCTAAGGGGCTGGTAGGTAGAGCTGCCTGTGTACATACAGAGTTCCCAAGGTGCACTCCTTAGAACAGCAGCCCCGCTACACGAAGGGGGACCCCGCGGTCTGTCCAGCACGCCCTGCGGGAGGTTCTGACCCAGGCTCCAGTTTGACGACCGCTACCTCGGAAAGCACAACACTACACATCCTTCAGGGAGTCATTCAGAGCCCGGGGCAGAGCATTGCTTGCCGTTTATTGAGTATCCACTCTTATCGGGGCCTTGCTTGCCTGCTCACAGATTAGGTTATAGATAAACTCCTGGGAGTGGAAAGGAAATTGTTTTTCCTTTCTGCAGGTGTGTTTTTCCCCAGGCGTCCTCTCACTGATTTTTCAGGCGTGGCGTGCGATTGGGGGCGGGGAGTAGAACCCTGGCGGTAGCAGGTAAGAAGGCAGTGAGGAGTGGGTCTCGTCCACTAACTTTCCCCAGGCTGGGTGGGTGTGGACAGCGCTCATCTGGGGACATTTTTCCCATTGTAAGGACAGCAGACGTGTGGGGGAAAAGACAAACCAGGGAAAAGGTTACCCAACTGCCTTTTGGTGCAGATTGACGCCAGGCCACATGAAGTGAACACCAGGGCTGCACCGCGACCCCAGCCATGGGGTCTCACCCGGGCAGGCACCCACTGCGTCCCCGCGGTCTTCCTTGGCGACCTGGAGAGCGTGCGCGCAGCGGGCTCCGCTGCCTCCACCTGCAGGGGTCGCCGTGGGAGCGCGGTCCGCCCCCTCCGCCGGCCCCCGCCCCCGGCCCCGCCTAGCTCGGCTCGGCCCCCGCTCCGCCAGGCCCCTCCAGCCTTTCCTCGCGCAGCCGCCGCCAGAGCCAGGAGAGGCGGAATCTCGCCGGCGCCGCTCCCTGCGCGGGACTCGCGGAGGGCCACTGGGCATGCTCAGTCGCCGGAGCCCGTGCTGGTCTAAGTAGGAAGCTCGCGCGCTGTTCCTGCAGCTGATCCGGGCGCGCCGGGGAGGGGAGGACCAGAGCCGAACGAGGCGATTGCCGCGCGCACCGCCGGTGAGCCCTACTTCTCTCCTGGCCTTTGCCGCGGACTCAGGAGCGGCCCGGGGAGAGACTGCTGTCTTCTACCCGGTGCCCGGGCTGCGCGGTCACTGCCGCCCGCCCAGCCGCAGCCGCATCTGCAGCGGGCGCCCGCTGTGGAGTCCGTGCGTCCTGCGCCCGCGCTGCAGGGCCGGTGGCGCGGCGACTGCTGGCTCCCTCCTGACTCCCATCGCGCCCGCTTCCCGGCGCCCTCTGTCTCGCAACAGTCCGGGCTTGGCTTGGCCTGGCGTGGGGGAGCCAGGGTAGCAGGGGGCGCGCCCGGGTGGGGGCTGCGGAGCGGTGGCGAGGGTGGGCGCGGGCGGCGAGGAGCGCACACCCCCTGGCCCTGGCACCAGCCTCCGCGGTGCGGCTGGGCGCTCCCTCCCCGGAGGCTGCGCGCTCCTGTCGGGGAGTTGGAGTCGGGACTGGCTTCTCTGGGGGTTTCAGAGACTCGGTGCCTAGAGATGAAAAGGAAAAAAGTTCATTCCCCTTTCGTAGGCAGAGAGAGCATTTTAACTAGAAAATGGCTGTGCGAAGGGGGCCGAGTCAGAAAAGCGGGCCCCTGGGTTCTGAAAGCCCCTCGGCTGCCCGCCGGGAGGAATGGAGGGCTGGACGCCAGGAATGACATTTGCGCGACGAAAACAGGACTGGACAGAGGGAGGGATGCGGAGTTCCACAGAAACAATAAAAGGTGGTCCCAGCGTAGAATGAAATCAAGAACCGAAGGTCAGAGGCTGAGGGGGCGTGGGACTTGGATTAAAAATTTGTCTGAGAAATCAGACCTTGAGTTGGGACAGTTTTGGAGTCAAGTTCTTCGCAGCTTAGAGCCACGACTGTCACCAGCGATTTTGGATAGATTGGCCAGAGAGGGCCGAAATTGAAAGGAAAATTAGGTCAGTGTGGGCAGCTGCGATAGGAATGGGTTCTTAGAGGGGAGTTTTAAGGACCTCCTCGGGCATTGGCTGTACATTATGCCTGATGACTTAAGTAAAACACCTAACAGGATATGAGTAGTGGCATCTGAATTCCAAGAAATGAGTAAACTTTGTGAAGCTGGCATTGTTTTGTCATTTGTTTTCATATTTTACTGATTTAAGAACAAACAGGCATCTGATACATTGTTTTGCATTTTGCTGTCTTAAATCTGTGCATTTCTTTTTTCCTGTCATGAATTTTTACTTCAAATCTTGTTCTCAGATGGCCAAGATAATGACTATCTGAATTTGTGCTGCTGGTCTTTCAAGGACAACCCTCGAAAGGGGATTTCTTTACGAACCTAGATATCTTTCAGTTTGTAGCTTGAAAGCAATATTTGTTCAACAGTTGTCAGAACTTACAGAACCCTAGAAATGGCATCCTTTTGAAAGGAAGACATTTGTCATGAGAATGGGGATCTTCCATCCTGGGGGAATGCAAGAGAGCACAGGTGGCAGTAGTGCACTATGGGACATTCTCCAGGAGGAAGACACCACCCTTGCCAGATTTCTTTCTTTCTTTTTTTTTTTTTTTTGGTACCGGGGATCAAACTTGGGACCTTGCGCTTGCAAGGCAGGCGCCAGAACCACTGAGCTAAATCCCCGGCCCTATTGCCAAATTTCTATTGCTGTCCTTTTGTCATGGATGCACTAGATAACCCCCAAAAGTCCCCATAACGGAGAATGTAATTATATGTCCCTTGATATTGGACAGAGTCTGAGAAAGGACTCTTAGGTGGAGATCCTTTCCTAGGGAAGGTGCTTATTTTTACTTTTATTCTTTCTTCAAGTGGATATCTTTAACTGAATTAATTCACCTCTGAAGAGCTAGAAGGACCCTGCTTTCTGACACTTATAAAGTGGTGGTTGAAATCTTGATAAGCTAAAATGTAACTGAGTAGCATTTTACTCTTAGCTAGAGTAATATGAATGCTGACTACAACATTATTTGGGGAAAAGACTATTACACATTACATAGATCCATATGTGCTAACATAAAGTATTTTAAAACTGTTACATTTTGTGCTATGTTTTAACTTTTTGATGACTTCTGTTCTTGCCACCAGAGAAACAACAACAAACATTGAATTCTTTTTCTGTTACAGCAAGAATTAATGTTGGAAAGCCCCACCATGTTACTAGAAATAGTGTTATATTGATTACCCTGATTACTGGATATCTAAATTTATCATCTAAGGCAAGTGGAACATTATGTCTCCATACTTTTTCAGTTACATTTCAGGGATAGTCGGTATCCTTATGACATAACATCTTAACTTTTCCAGTGGTGTAGGACAGATTATTAAGAAAGTATTGCAATAAATTATAATTAGGTATGTGAGTGATACTTTTCTTTCCTGGGGTAAAGAAACTGGCATCCATTCAATGCTTATTATGTGTCAGGACTGATGCTAAGCTCTTTACATACACTCTCTTTATCTTCACATATCTTACACTCTCAGCATCTTCACATAACTATCAGCTGCCCAAGAACAGCTCTGAAGGCTCAACACTTTTTTTTTGATTCTAACTTAGGTTAGATTTCTAAGTTTTATCTGGTAGGAAACTATTTTCAATGGGTTCCATTATTATTCAGTAAGCATTCTCTTGCAAAACACCTTTGATTTGTTATTTAGGATTAGATTTGATTGGAACAGCGTCTTCAAATGATTTCAATGCTTTAGTATATATGCTGCTGAAGCGAGCATGATTTGAATGTTTTTAAGAAGTGTTCATCCATATTTTAAAAACCGTTTTGTGTTCGTTTATTTTCAGCAATGTTGTACTACCAGCAAATAAAAGTAAATGTAAGGAAAATAAACCCAGATTGCCACTTCAATATTAATGTGTCATTAGTGCATATACTGGATTCTGGTAAGTGTTGGTGGCATGTCTCTCAGCTGAAATGCCAGTGGCAATGACTGTGTAATTAAGGGTCTGGTGCCATTTGAGACCACCAACCAGAGGCTCCAAAGACTTGACTCCTGGGTTCCACTTCTTTGTTCCTTTTATGCAGTGCATGATGTTGGAAAAGTCAGTTCACTTTTCTGGCCTCAGTTTTCCCATCTGTAAAGTGAGTGTTGCAGTAGAATGTATGCTCTGGGTACCTGTCCAGTCCTTCTTGGCCCAGTCCAGAGGTCTGTGATGCAGCTATTTGGGGAGGGAGGACTTCATTTAGAGCCTAGGTGATTCTGTGTTTCCCAAATTTATCCTGTTGGTACTGCTTTGCCCAGTATTCTCCCTTTTTGGGCCAATTCCTAGCCACCTTGTAGTTTCCATTTGCTATAAACTGGCTCTCATAAAATTAACTCTATGTGGCCCTGCAAGTCTGTGCAGGAGATAAGGCATTGTTTAGATTTGGGTAAAACATATTTGACATTTGAAACTTTTCGGGGGGTGATAATGAGAATTGAACTCAGGGTCTTTACACTGAGCTACATCATTAGCACTTTTTTATTTCCTACTTTGAGGCAGGGTCTCACAAAGTTGCTAAGTTACCCAGGCTGGGCTTGAATTTGCTATCCTCTTGCCTTCCAGAGTGCTGGGATTACAGGCACACGGCACTATACCTGAATGGGATTTGGCACCTTTATAGCATCTTCTGAGGGGAGACGAAGTGCAGCACTTGGTCTCTGGAATAAGATCATCATTCTCCCTCAGTGTTAGCATGATCACTGAATTGGTTGGGCATGTGCCAGTGGTTGGTGAGTGCATCTCTCTGATATCCTCAGGAGGATTACCAACCCCTCCCTCCTTACCCCTAGGTTATGACGTTGGGGCTGGGAGCAAAGGAAACCAACCCTATTTGGTGTTTTCAGTGCACACTGCTTTAGGGATGCTCACAGTACTTAGCCTGATTAACCTTTAAGGAGTAAGGTGAGGAGTAGCCGGAGTTCTTAACTCTTTTAAATAATTAACAAATGGACAGTGACAGGCTCCAGGATTCCTGGAGCCCTGTTAGGAGTGGGACAATAATTCCAAACAGTAGCTGAGAGCTGTAAGATAGGGGGGATAGATATATGATGATTAGGGGAGGGGAAGTCAACTCATTGTCACTTGGCAAGAACTAGGATGCCTGGATCAGTTAAAAAGCTTTGGAGGTCTTTGGGAGTAGTTATAGAAGATATCCTCTTTGTACATTATCGATTTCCATAATGCTTGAATCTGAATCTTCTGTAATGGACATGCATTATTTTTATACAGAAAAAAATCCCATTGTATAATTTATTGGTGCATAAAATGTCCAGATTCACAGGGACAAAGATGAGAGAACATGGAAAAAACAGATGGTATGGATATATGGATTAGGGTTCTTCATTAGTGTTAGCTAATGATTAGACAGTGGTTGTAACTAAAATTAACCACTTTGTCCTTTTCCTCTTATATAAATGTTGCAAAATTTTATCTGCTAGGACCTGAAGCTTTTGAAGTAGCATTCTACTGGCAAGTGTGCTTCAGGAATGCTTTGGGTGGGAGGAAGAGTGGTTTTTTTCTTTAAACTAAAAAACTGGAGTTTTGGAACTGAGCTAAAAGTAAAAGCATACATTCAGGAGAATGAGATTGGAGGGGATTTTCAGAGTAAAGGGGAATGCCATTGTTGAAGAAGGCAGCCGTGGCTTTGCCAGGGTTAGAGGATGTGGCATTTTCAAAATTGCTGTCATATATATCAGATCTTAATTTCTACATTGTATAAAAAGTAACTAGTAGTTGCTACAAAGTATAAAAGATATAGGAAAAGCACAGTGCTAGCCTCAGGGCCATTGCCTGATGAAGTTTTCATTGTCCTTATAACGATGATGATGATGTAGTGACTATTTCATTAGAGTTCAAATAAAAAGGTGTGTCCTTTTCTGAGATTATACCTATCTGATTTTTGGTAAGGTTCTTTTATGAAGTGATGGGAATATTTTCATTTGGCAGCTTAATGGTCCGTGAAATTGGTAAGTCTGAGAATCTGGGCCTTAGATGCAGAGAGTCTGCCCCGTGGGATTGAGTTGAGTA